GATAATTATACCAAAAATTTACGGCATACAGGCATACCTTACCACTGAATATTTAATATTAATTAATTAATTTAATATTAATAATAATTAGAACAGGCTATGATAGCGATATGTGAATAATTTTAAGTAATTTAAGTAGGTAATAGAAATAAGTTGTAATTTTATTTTAGATTTAAACATAAATAAATACATAAATAAATAAATATCGTTTAACATCTTTCCTAACAAAACTCCAAATAATTAAATTTTAAGCAAAGTACGGACCTGTTCGCCCATATTCCATTCTTACAGCTGGCCCGGGTCTTTCCTTAATTCGTATCATCTTATATCTATGAACAGACTTTACCTTTATTCCGAGGCCGCGCGTCGTCTTCTTTACCGATCGGGCGACGAATGCCGGCCGAGCAAGCGAGACGGTGACGGCGTGCCCTTATTAACGGCACGGCCGCCTATATTCCCGAGAAGACGTACACATTAAAAACGAATTAAAATTATCCGTGGCGACCGCGCGCGGGGCGGCCATTTCGTTGACCTTTGCGAAAAAAAAAGAAAGAAAGATAAGTTATCGGCGGGGCGGGCGGCGATAAGATAACGACGTCGTCGGGCCGATGCTATTTTCGCGCCGCTGTATACGTGCGACGCACAGAAAAACACGGTTGTTTACACAGACTGGTGTCGGTCGTCGACGTTTGCGAAACTGCGAAATATGTTGGCGAGGTTAGTGTCGTGTGGCGAGGGGCGGATGCCGCCCGTCCGGCGCCCCTTTAACGGTGGCGCGTGATACGATTTGTGTGCGAAACGAACCCGAACTACGAGGAGAGTGTTACGACACCCAAAAGGTAGTTTTAATTTTTAAAGGCGGCGTCGTCCGCTCCGACGTGGACGATTTTACGATTGTTACATTTTTTTTGGACGTTTAACGTTTTCGCGTAATTCCTGCGGACTTAATTAGCCGGGGCATCGGAGGCGCGACGACATGGTTCTGTTTACGAAACGGTCCCGCGTTGTTGTAAACGCGACGTCCGTCTAGACCAGCGATGTTGTCGGGCCCCGTCGAAATTCTGAACCTACGCAACACGGGATCCAGTGAGCCGCGTCAGCGCGGTAAACAACGCGATCGGACGCGAACGGTCGGTGAATAAAAAATAGAGACCGTCCCGTCTTAAGCTGGAGATTGCGTGTATTTTTTCGCGGATATATCGCGGTGCAATAATGGCGCATAGCATATCAAATAGCTATTTTTAGTTAATTGTACCATAAAACTCGCACATTTGTATTTTAACCGGGAGAGTTAGTGCCACTATTGATTTTCCCGCGTTTTTTTTTTTAATGATCTTACGCGCAAACCGGCACATAACCTAGTGTGAACAGGACGGGGGCTCCTTATAAAGTCGCAGAAATGAGTTACGATGATTTTTTTGATTTTAAATAACTAGTAACTTATATTATATTACATTATACTGTTTTATTTAGAATTTTTTTTAATCAAAATAGTTCACTTTATTATATTCCCGGAATAGGCATACGGGGTCGGTCCGAAGAGTTCGCAGAGTCCTATTTTTTTATCAATGGAGTACGCTGTATATTATGTTTTAATTCTATAGACAACTTTCTCTATGCCTACGTTTCAAAATAATCTAATCACTGAATCAGGTACATTTTTACTTTTTTTTTTTAGGATTAATTTTTCAAAGAAACTTCCACATGCTACTGTAATACTATTTACAAAAGGAGGAATCCAGAAGTTTTGTGAATAGTGTTAATTTAAAAAACTGTACGTTATTGTCTAAGTTATTTTAAAAGAAAATGTGACAATTTAACTTCATTTCATTAAATTAGGTCATACAATGGGAAACCGTGTTCCGAAAGCTATAAATATTCGGAATATAAAAATTTACGAATCGTTGCCGTAATTTTAAATAAGATAAGATTATAAAAATAGGCGGTTATCATTGAGAAAAAAAACTTGTCCGGTTTCTTCGTTTTGACCTTAATTTTTTTATTCGTCGACCTATATCGACAGTTATTTCATTGAACGGATTGAAATATATTTCAAAAAAGTTCAGCGTTGGAATATTATCAGGCACAATAACCGTGTATAATTTTCCGAAGACTGAAATGAAATAGGCAGTATTGAAGTCAAAACACTATTTTTTAGTCTTTCCTTGAAAGCGATGGCGGTTTTGCTTTTTTTTTGGCGCCCTATCTCGGTCTGTCTGTCTGCCGTGCGGTTTGACAGCTGCGCTACCCCGTCCGTCCGTACGTTTGATGCATTACGTAACGAACGTGAACCCGTTGCCTAGAGTGGAATTTTCTCGCCGCCGCCAACACCATTTTAGCAGACGGTTTGGGAAACTAGTGCGAGAGACAGAGATGGACGACCAGCCAGTGCGTGCCTATGCGCATCTGTGTGTGTGTGTGTGTGTATGTGTACGTCTCAAGGTCGACGGGTTTACATTGTCTTCTGCGTCCCGGGGGACTCGCCGTTTACATAACGAGTCCGGTAATTACGGCCGCTCATCTGACCGCGTCATAATTCGATTGGCGCGTTGTCCGTTAACGGTGGAAATCCCGGCGGAAATTTTCTATAAACCGCCCGACGCGGTCTATGAAAATGTGGAAAGGCGTTTTTTTTTTCTTTTAAGTCCGGCGGATCCCCGCAGCCGTCGTCGGATTCAACGGTAACCGAGGCGATTCGGCAACAGCGCGTGAACTTGCGCCGGATTGCGCGAGCCCCGCCCCACCACTTTCCCCGCTTTGCGGATGTCCCTAGCAGGTAGAAAGAGGTGCGCGGTTGCCGGTTTTACTCGGTAGACGCTATGCAATTTCTGTATTTATTTTTTATGAAAATATTGCAATTCCGACTACCATTTTTCGTCGCCCAAGCTTTTATTAAAAATTGAAGGATGTCAATTTATGTATATATATGTTTTTAAAAAACAAACTTACAAAAAATTACTTTTGGAAACTGTACAACACTTGAAATATTAAATATACACTATGCATTTCTCAAGTCTAGACTTCTGAGATTGTAAATTTCCGTCATATACCCACGGTTTTGCATAAAGTTTAACCACTAAGTACTTGTTTATTAATTTTTCCGTGAACTTGACGCCATTTTGGAAACAGATATGGAAGATGGAAAAGAAATGAGCTTTTAAAAAATGCGTAGGTGGCGACTACGATCTCTATTTTTCGGGACCGCCCTTATATTACTCTGTTTTTGGGATTCTACGGAAAAATCAGAAATTTTTTTAAAGATCAGATAATTGGCAAATAGAGATTTACAATGAACACGACGAAAGAAAAAAGAAACGGTCGATGGGAGCGCCTCCCGATCCAGATCTGCGTCGACCCGCTCGCCCGATCTGAATCCGGGCGAGATGAAGAAGAGGTCGAAGGACTTTGTCTCCAAGGCCTTCTTTACGCGAGAGAAAGAGTATTTCACGTGTGCCGAGTGACCCCGTCTCGCCCTGTCTCTTTCTCTATCTCTCTTTCTCTCTCGTTTTCGGTGATTTTTAGCGATTTTCGGACAGACGAATTTTTAAAATTTATTGATTTTTTCAACTGTCAAACACGCGATCATTTTTAATTTATCCCCAAATTCGAAAAATGTCTGCATTGTTAGATGAAAACGCAGTTGCCGTCAATTTTTTTCTAATTTGTCTTAAACCAGTGTTGCCGATTGCTACTTTGGGATTTTCTCTAAAACTATAGGCATTTGGTCATCAATGTGCATGAACTGCGCGACATCTTTTTTTTTTTTTTTAATTTTTGAAAATATCTTGAGCATCAAAAATTAGTGACCTCATTCTATTCGGATTTATAAAGTTTGTCGGTTCACCCTTTCCAAGTGTTTCAACTAAACGAGATTTTTAGCAAATTTTGTGTGGGTTATTTTGGCTCCTTGATAATATTTTTTTCACAAATACAATCCTATTGGCAATTGAATAATAATTAGTACATCGGCGGTTATGCAAACCTCCGGAATGGAAGGAAGGGGTCACTTTCGCCAGACGGTCCGAGGAGAGAAAATACGTCGGGGTGAAGGACCTCTCCATCTTGGCCGGTGTCGCGCTGCTGCTGCTGCTGATGCTGCTGCAGCGACGTCTTGGCGGAAGAACGGCGTTGCCGGTTCCCGGCATTCTCTTCCGTCGGTTGCAGTTTTCGCGATCCCTCGAAACGGGGTTGCCGTATGTACCCCCAAATTGCGGAATTCCCAGTCGTCGCTTTTGCATAGATTGGCAGCATCACATTTTCCGAAATGTTTCTGAAATAATGTCGTCACCAGTTACGGCGTAGTATCCATTAAATGATATCGCTGCATGTTCTAAAATTCCTTTCCTTTCGTTTCAGGTTTTCGCTGCCGAAGTCTGAAGGAACTCTCCGTAAAAAGTTACGTCAGCGACTCGATTATAAGTCCGTTTCGATTGCGGAGACGGCCGATAGGTGTCGCCGTTGTTTCTCCTGTCTGTGTTCGTGAGGAGTAACCCGTAGAACCGAACTTGTGTGTTGATAGCCGTCACGGGTTCGATTTTAAGGGTACCTTCTTTCGATTACTTCGATCTCGCTCGCGCCTGCGCGCTCGTAATTTAGCACGCATCGGTCGTGCCCCTTATGTTATACGTAAGGACGTCCGTTGTTGCAACGCCGCGTGTATGTATATATGTTTGAGTGTCAGTTGAGGTAGTAGGTTGTATAGTAAGTATTACACCCGTTTTGGAGTTACTGTGCAGCCTGCTAACTTTCCTGATCTCATTCTTGTTCACCGCCGAAGACCGACACTTGAAAAGTACGTTTTTTTTTTTGGAGCCAACGGAAACGAATAAATTCTTATTATGTTTGGGTAATCTGATAGTTATTTATTTTCCTGTCAGTTTTTCGGTTGTTTTCAGGCGCCTGCGTAGCCACTATTAACCACCGACTCCCTGAGACCCTAGCTTGTGACGTCATTTGCACACTCTCACAAGTTTGAATCTCGGGATTGGGTGTTTAAAATACTTCATTTGATCGGACGATATCGAACAGACTGAAACGAACGATTGTCGCAAACCTGTTGCGATTTCTCGTGCGATCTGTGACCGGCAGGCTCGGCCCATCGTTAAGTAAAAGAAGAAGAATGCGTTAAAGTTTTCTGGAAATGGCGGCCTTCCATCAGTGGGTGGTTTTTATTTGTTTAGGTTAAGTTTTTATCTTGTTTCCTTGTTAGTGGGCAACAGCGGACTAGTCGTCATGGATCAAACTGATCTCGAGTTGTTGTTGAATTACCCGCTGATACACAAAACACGTGAAACGGTCGACGAAGTCGTTTACTCAGGTTATGTGTTTGACGGGTCACTGGACGTGGAGGTGTTAGTGAAATGGGGCTCTTGCGTCGGTCGTTACGAGGTAGAAGTGCCGGGAGACACGCCGCTGTCGAAAGAAATCGACGAATTGATCGCGACCGGTCATTTTCGCGGCGTGCTCGAAGTACTGGACAGAGTAAAGCTCCACTTGGAGTCGATACGACGTCGCGACTGCGTTAGAAACATCGCGGGAGTTTACCAGAAGGTTTTATGGGAGTACGCCGAGTTTACTAAATTTTACTTAAACCTCAAAAGTTGCCGGCTACAAGAGGACCTAAGAAAGATATTTTTGTCATTGACAGGTCGGGATAGAGGCGTTTTTTGGAAGTCATAAATGTCATAACATGGCGTGATTCGTTTCAGATGCCGGCAGTCGGGAACATTCAGCGTTAATATCTATAGACTTGTCAAGGTGCGACGAAGCGATTTTCGCTTTGACTTCGTATGATTTGCCCCAAAGAGAGGCGGGTACGACCTTGTTCGAACCAAGCGAGAACGTGGCGACCTTGTTCGATCGATTCGCCGCGCAGGTGGAATACCTGCAGCCCTATTTCGATCTGATGGACGAACTCGACCAGAACTGTGATGTGCTAGATCCCGAGAAGCCACAGCGAGCTGACCCTTATAGAAGGATCTGGTTAGGTAAGCTGTTTTTTGGGTAAACATTAGCTTTATTGTTTGAAGCATATTCCTAAGTTTTAATCAAAGGTGTTTACCATTTAGTCTTTTGTGAATAATAGGGACTTTTTGCACACCTTATTTTTTGGTGTTTTGGTTATTTTTTAACTTTGAAGCGTTGACCTTCTTAACCAACAAAATTCAACACTACCTAGAGTCAAATAAGGCGGTGTTGTTGGTCAATATTTTTCTATTAACAATTTTTTTGTTTATTTCGACGTTTTCTAGGGTTGTTACATATTTAACTCAGTGATTAGAAGGTAAATTTTGTGGCAGAGGCTCCTAATATATAAGATGTAACTCAGGTCCATAACAAAATTATTGAATTGAAAGGAGGTCTCCCAAGGTTACAATTGTGTATCTATTTAACAACCAGTTTTGTTTTCTGAATTTAATTGTAAATATAGTGATTTTTTATTTGTGAATTTTTTTTAGCCTTGTATTTAAGCCCAATTACAATATTCGTTAAACTTTCTATTTACAACAAAAACGATTAGCAACTGAAACTCGTAGCAATTAACAAAATAAAATAGATATATGAGTAAAAAACAGATCAGGTTAAAGAGACATTGACAATTTTTTGGACTGTAGGCGAGAATGTCTCTGTACAAATCACCACCGACCCATACAACGTGTTTCTGCGTCCGGACGTCCGGTTTCTCGGTCCAGACAGACTGGTCGACCCCTATCGGGCTACGCTGAACGATCGTCTCGGTGATGGCGAGGGTTGGACGTGCAGGGATGGGGTATTCCGCGGTCTCTTGGATCTGCTCGGTTTGGCCTCGTTTCCGCGCCTGCGGGAGACCGTAACCCGCCACGACGACGACGACGACTTGCTCGTCGCCGAGGGTGATTGTAGCGTGTGTTTCGCGCCGAGGCTTAACGGTCAACTGGCGGACGTCGTTTGCAGGAACGCGTCCTGCGAAAAACGTTATCACGTGGAATGCTTGTACGAGGTGAGACGAAGAGGGAAGAAGGTTAGGGTGACGAGATCGAGATCCATTCCTGATTTCAGTGGCTGGTGGCGGTGAACGCTCGCAAAGTTCTCGATGGCATTTCGGGCCGGTGCCCAAATTGTGAGAAAGCGATCACCTGCCCCGTACCTGTTCGCTTTTAATTTAAAAAGAAAAGCAAGGAGTTAATTTTTGTATTTAAATAACGGTATAAGTTTTGTTGAAACAGCGAGGTGCGGGTTGTGGGTATCGTAAGAGGTAAAAAGACCGAGAAAGAGACGTGACAGAGATCTTGCGGCAGTATTTCGTCTTTGGCGGGGAGAGCACTAGAAACCTTTACCAAACAAAACGCAAATCAAGTACAAACTTTATTAAACTAAACTAAAACAAATACACTCGATACAATTTTAAAAATGGTCGAACACTTAAAAGTAGTTGTTTGCACTATTCGCGTCTCAAAATACCGATATCCGACTGCGGTGCGTGTGGGAGATGTCGTCGTCGAGGGTCAGCAACACCATGAACGTGAAGAACATACCGACGGCACTCAAAAAGTGCCAGACATCGTGGTAGTCGTAGAATCGCAGCAGTGTACATTCCGTGTTAAAGTGTCGCGACTTCGCAGGAGTCGCCTGGGACAAGCGCGAGCGATGTCGACAGGGAGGGGAAGGGACCGAACGAAGCCCTACTTACCGACCAAGAGATCGACTTGTGCAGGAAAAAGTACATCGCGGAGATCGCGCAGAGGGTAGACGCGATCAAGAAGATCCAACAGACGATCCTGACCCGTTCCTTGTTGACATACTGCGACACAAAAAGAAATAAATAACGCGCCGCTCGACGCCAGCTCGGCTTCGAACCGACCTTCATCACGATGTAAAAGATAAAGTATAGCAACGTGTTCGACATGAACACGAGTAGGAGGAAGACGGCAAAGTTTTGGGGGCGGTATTGGACGGCGACGTACGCCAAAGCCCAGTTGCAAGCGTTGGCGAACAGCAGCACGCAGAAACGAGCTAAAAACGCGACATTAAACGCCCGCTAGGCGCGGAGGTAGCGCTCACCCTTGTAAGACGGTACGAATACGTTCAGCGGTCCTGACGAGAAGTCGTGCCTCAGCGTATGCCACATCCTAGTCAGCGACGTGGTACCTGCAAAAAAAAAAAAAATCAATCAAATCAAGTCAAAATCAAAAATCTTTCAATTCATGAAGAAGAACTTTTGTTGAGATTTATGAAGAATTGTATTATTTCAGAATGCTGGTTTAACATCGCTATCGTTTAGACATTTTACTTTTTAAGTGTTGCTGTTAACTTTTATGCCTTTTTGATTTATTGGTACTTCTGAATAATATCAGCCACACGGGTCTATGATGAACTTTTTAGTTGGTTAAAAACTCTTAACGAAGCAACTGCATTGTTCCATTGATCTGCATTTATTTTTACTGTATTATGTATTTCGCTAATTTTATTTTAATAAACCGCACTAACATTTTTTAAACTGTTGAATCCTTATAACCAACCAACCAAATTAAATGTCTTCCAGGTAGATACCACGCAAGTTCTACGTGTATTTTCACTTTAAATCTCGTTTTCAACCAATTAGGCTTGTCCTTGCAACCGAACCAATCTACGAGGCTTAGTGACTTCAACACGATCTAACACCGTTTATCAATTCGACAGTTTTCCGTGTGGATGTTTTTTTTTTCAGGGTAAAAAAAATAAGTACAGGATGTAGAGATTGCCATTTGAAAACAAAATTGGAAAATTTTCGGTTAAGGGTATACTCTAACTGCTAAATAATCCATCATCAACGTTAATTATGGAAGATCCAATCAACGTGCCGATATTGGCTGATACAGGGCTAGCCTTAGTCAAGTTCACCCCAACGAAAGTTAATTAAATGTGACCCCATTCCTGACCAGACCAGCGTCTAAGACAAGACAACAAGTGCCAAAAAGTACAGGCCAATAAGATTAACCGGAAAAAGTCAAAGAAATAACCAAGTTCATGCCGCAAAATAATGCAATTCTACAAACATAGCACAGTTTCATATCAATATCCTACCTACGGACCATTATCTACTTAGAATACGAAAAGGCGTTCAACAAGGTGTTTATCCAGCTAGATCATTATGGTGTCTGAGGAAAGCTGCTTAGTCGCATAAAAAAGAACTATACGCAGTCCGGAGTGGCGCAGTTCATGGTTTGGTAGTGCTATGCATAATTTACGCTGGACAGACCTTGGTCGGTGACCTATCTACCTCAGAAAAACGGACAGAGACCTATAAGTGAAAGTAAATGCAAAATTTTGGATATACGACTCAACAAACCACCATATAATTATCAACTTAATGGCGTACAGCCGACAGGTGAATGACTAAAAATGTCACGGTGCAATTGTCTTAAACGACCTGAAGTAGGATAAAAACATATCAACTATACCAAAAAGACGCAAGTCATTGTGATTCTCGACCCAAAAGGCTTTCGACGGGAAGACACCTTCTTAGCAATTGCCTAGTGTATGTGCGGAATTGAATCGTGATATCTTAAATATAAACGCCTTCCTAATACATTATCTTCAGATCGTTGCGCGTAAACAAAGTGTTAAGTTTAGAAGACATTGTATCACAGTTTCATCGAGTACTGACCCGCTTGCTTTATTCCCGCAGAATAATAATAATATTAAAAACAATGTGCGATTATTATAAAAAAAAAAAAACATACCAATAACCAATTTGTTTAAGGAAACGGATTTTCAACCTAAATAAGCGAAGAATGTAAATTGTTCAAAAACTAATATATTGCTCGATTTGAAACGCTCTGATTTTTATTTTTCGCGATTATGGATTTTTTTGTACACTCTTGAATTAGAAGTTCATGTACTTTAACATTCATTAATTGTCAAAAGTTTAAAAACTATCCTTCAAAAACATTTTGCTCGAAAAAAACTACATCTCATCTAATACCAAATAATTGCCATGAATTTTTAACAGCCAAAAAAAACAGCAAGTGTTACCGCGACATATTTCCGATTTACGTCATCGGCGACCTTTGCTACAACATAATAGATCCCCGCCCACTCAGCGTTTACCGCGATACTGGTCGTTACAGCGTCGCAGAAAGCACTTACTTATACTCCAGCAACCCATATAGTACACCTTCAACGATAGGTAGAGGCACGACAGTATGTGAACGACGGCGAAGAACATCCAAAAACTCTCCGTTCCTTCGAAGAGACCGATCATGCCTACAATGACGCGGTTGCCTAAAATCCAACATTAACCAACGACAAAAACACCCACCCAACAAGATGGCGACCGCCAATACACCGAACGTGGCGTAAGCGTTGGCGTTAATGTCCGGATGGCGGTTCTGATATAGCTTGATCATGCACAACACTGCCATCACGTACATGAAACTCGTATCTGAAAAAAAAAAAAAACAACCGGGGCCGTTTTGCAGAGCTCGAAAACTCGGCCGCCCTTACCGAACTGGAAGTTCGACTGGCTCGGGCACACGTGGTAACTGCCACTCAACACCCCCTCCATGATCAGGGCCACGCCCATCGCGTAAAACAACCCATAGTGTTGCGGGATGCCGTAGTGCTAAAAAAAAAAATCTCAAACCTTTCCATAATTTTTTTTCGGGCAAGAGACGCAGCAGAATAAGTGTCTAAAAGAAACCCCGTTTCGGTGACCAAGACACCGGAAATGTTCGAAGTGTCATGTAACATTATATGATTACATAAATAAAGAATTTTCATGTAATCCGAAATTCGTAACTTTGCTTATATCATTTGTATAACATGATGATGTATATTTGTACGTATTAGAAATAAAAACGAAATCCATATTCTGATATTTTCTATGTATTGTATTGTATTTTTCCCTTGTCAATAAATAAAAAGTATTCGTTAAATGTTTTTTTCTACTCCCGTCTGTAAAATTCCTAATTATCCACCGATCTAGCGTGCGGGAAGCGTCACTTTACCACGTCAGTGTCGTCGTTTCCCGTGAATCCGAGCCATTTCGGACATTTCCGGGATTTTCCACGCTTTGAATTTTGATGTTTGTTAATCCTGACGGTCATGTCAGTGAATTTATTCGTGTGTTGCGAAAATGTAACAAAAAAACTACCGGTCGTACAAAAAGTATAGTATGCAACACGTTCGGTAAACTTTGTAACTCACTTTGTAAAAAACTCGCGCTCCGCTACTGTCAAATATACTCGTGAGACAAATGACGTTTACCGCACTTGTTGCATAATATACTACTTGATAAAATACACACACTAGACCATATATTTTTTAAACGTTAATAGTATACTATGCAACAAGTGCTGTAAACAGCATTTGACTCACGAGTTTATTTGACACGAGCGGAGCGAGTGTTTAATAAACGAGAGACTTAAAAAGTTTACCGCACGTGTTGCATACTGTATTGTTTCTACGACTGTTAGTTTTTGGGTACATTTCCGCAAAAAAAAAAAACGAAACAAAGCGTCGGAAATATCTCCGAAAACATCCGATTGCTCCCAAACCCGTGCGGTAAAATCCCCGAAGTGTTCGAAGTGGCTCGCATCCGTGGGACAAGAAACTTACATGGCAAAGTGACGCTCCCCGCACGCTAGATGGGTGTATAATTACGTTATTTTACAGAGGGAAATTCTATTTCGATTGAGATTAATATAAACGTACATCGAGTATCTTGCTTTGTAAGAATGTGGCAAAACCCGTTAAAATGTTTGTTTTCATATTGGATGTTCGTAGTGTGCGCAATTGATCTTTAACGTTTTCGCCGTAGTTTGGACTTGGTTTGAAACTATTAGTCACAGTACGGTTTGAGGATAACTAACTTTACAAGAAATTATTGGTAATATGCGAATATACAACTTCTCTGCGTTTTAACGTCATATTATTATAAATATTTTCTCTAAAAAAATAAGTATGAATCTTCAATATCAAAGGAAACTGACTTAGATGGAAGAATAACACCAAAAAAAACGATGATTTTTGGAATTTTTTGTATTTGTACATTCCATTTGAAATATACAAATAAATTTATGAATGTGAATAATTAATAATAATTTAAAACCCCATGGAGAATCAACAAAGAATCTGAAAAAATGTAGTGGCATATCAGTAATATTGGTTTATGCAATTTAAAACACATTTACGGCTGCCGTTTTTGCATTGCCCGGAAGGAAGTTTCGGATTCCGCTCGAACTTGACCCGAGCATAAAAATGGTCGAAAATTATAAGGAACAAGTTCGTAACTTGACGCGAACACAAACCTATTTGGTAAACCGAATAAAGCGTGACCGCTCACCCTGTCAAAGTCGGCGTCGTCGCAGTGGGTCCTCTCCCGGAAGAACGTAATGGCGAGGAACAGCAGTCCGAGCAGCACGTAGCCGACGTTCGAGAACACGTGGTTGAAATCGCTAAGCACACCCAACGGGTGACTGCACAGGAAATTGTAGTAGCACAAGTCCTGCTGACCGGTTTCGTTGAGCACGCCCTGGTACGTGACGACGAGCTGGACGACCGGCAACGCGTAAAACAGTCCCACCGTCAGCACGTTGTACAGGTAGAGATAACTTTTTTTGGCGAGTATGCGGGGATGACGCAACGCGAGGTCCTCGAGGCAGGGTTGAATTTTGCAGCGCCTCGTCTCGCGGTCGTACGGGAAATTACGCTGGGAGTCGACCTCGTCGATGGACTCGCTGTCCTCGCTGCCCGCGAGGCTCCTGGTTTGCGCCGCATCTGAATTCGTTGGCACTACTGCCTCGGCGTACTCGAGCCGGCGCGGTTCCCAGCAACGGCGCGTGCACAGCGCGAACGCGATGGCGAACACGACGTAGAACGCTCCTGCGCAGAAAGTACGGGTGTACTCTAGCGCACACGGGTCATTTATGGAAATTTACTCGGTAATAAAGGTTCACGCAGAAATCTTATGTTTTAGATGGGTTGATTATTTTTTATGTTGTATTTTACGTCTTGCCTACGTGTTCATAAATATCACGTAAGCTGATTCCATAAATTGCATGCGTTTATCCAGAAAGCCGCGTTGCCTGTGAGTTTTTAAGGTCATGTCCCGTTTTAACGTCCAGCAGTAGTCCGCCATCATCGTTATGCTCCGTCTGCTCCATTTAATTAATGTCCTGGTGAAACCTCCGTCCCTGTTCTTCGCTAACCGCTCCAAGATTTTCAATAAAATAGTTCCAAGTGTGAAAACCGGAAATGCACTTTCAAACTCATATTACAACGTGGACGATGAAAGTGTTGTAATATATTTTGAACAATACCCTCGTAGTTCTCGTCATTAGAGTTTCCAAGAAACTTATCAATTACAACAAATTTCTAACACAAATATTTGAAACATTGCCCATTTTTGTCTAGGGCTTTAACAAACTGCTTCATCAAGAGGATGCAGCAAAACTTTTTTTGGGGTCAACTAAGCTCTCTCTTAATACATTTTTGCTACTAGGTGTAAGGCTTGTTCTAGAGGGCCATTCTATTTGAGTCTAATGTCTCTTGCCCGACTATCCCGCTCACAAATGTAGTACGAAAATTTTGTATAACCTGATGTTCTTGGTAGTTTATTTTCTGCAAAAGGAGTCCTAAATTTTCATACGTTTCTTTTAAATGTATCGAATGGGCAACGGGAACCGAGGCCCGTTCGTTACCATTGTGCAATAAAACGCCTCTTGAGTCGATAAATTTTGAAAAAAAGTCAGGAATATTGTTGCAATACACACTAGCAGTCTTTACTGGATTCACCAAACTGCGCTGGTTACTACGCTGTATTGACGCTTCTGCGTCAACTCTCTCTGCTGCTCTGATATTATCCAGGGTTGCCAAATTACATTTAATTTCATAAAAATCATGCCTAACATGAAAACATTCATGTCATAGGTATGTATATAAAATTACATTTTAAAGATAAAGAGCCCTATTTAAAAAAATGACAATATAGCAAAAATATGGCCTTCTTTTGGGAAAAGGACCTCCAAAAATATACAAATAACCAATCAACTTTCAAATATCAAAATCACTGCAGACCTGCGTATTATTATATTCTTACATATTAAGTACATTAACTAGGTAACAATAATTACTTCAACTACTTCAATACTATTGTATAGTTGTATATACCGTATAGAAATGTCATAGTCATCTTTTTTTAGATACAGGGCGGTTTTAGAAACAACATGTTTACTAATAAAAAAAATAAATATTTGTATTAGAATAACTCTGTGTTTGAAAGGCTCATAGCAGACCTAATAAAATAATCAAAAGACAAGGTGTTCCATTATAAAGAAACTCAAGTTTAGTTTGTGTAAAAAAAAATTGTGAGCTTGGGAAGAAAACTGACTACGCCACTGGACCCTACGAAAAAAACCTATCACTAATCATTTTTATAATATGCTAAGCTCACTTTACGGCACCCAAATTGGTAACTGTAGAGTTTTAGTGGTAATACTTGAAAAACCACTAGTATGGAAAAAAGAAGCTACAAATTACATTAAACAAAAACAGCACTTTTCTAATGGTACTTTTTGGAAATATTAGCAATTGATATCTTGTGAAATGTTAATCTACTTTACTTTCAATCAAGTCAACAGGATAGATTACGCTCTTAAAAGTAAAACAATTGCAGAAGTATGAAAGTCGCTAGCAAGCTAGTGAAAATCCAAAGGAGTATTACTGACATTTATTATTATTATTATTATTATTAATGTCTAAATTTTCATTGTTCACATAGCTCGCTCTTGGCAGGACCTGTCAATTTTATTAAAGTGTTTCTCCGCTAAACCATGGGGGGGAACGTCTCAGTATTCGCATTTTAGGGTAATGGCGGCAAAAAATTGTTTTCTCACATTTTTAGGTTGTGTTAAGTACCCATAACCTACATTTAGGTAGAGTGACTTAGAGATGACTTTAGTAGCCTAGTAAAAGAAGGTTAAATTTAAATGTCATCCAGCGTTAGATGGTCCCTGCAAATGTTTGTGGGAAAGGTGATGTTCTCATAAAGACTTTTGCGACATAAGATGGTTTCCTATTAATTGTTAGCGTTTAAGAGTTAAGGGGTAACGTTTGTTTCATTTTAGCACCGCGCCTACGTCCTCCGTACTCACTTACCGATCGAGCACAGCGTCCATATGACGGCATTCGTGTAGTCTTTGTAACTGATGCTCGGTTTTATCTCGACTGTGATCGATTTGGTGCGATTGTCGCTGGACGGGATCGTGGGCGTTTGCGAGCACTGCGAGTCGTCCGCCTTCGCGACAAACACCACGAAAAACCCGTACGGGAACTTGTCCTTCTGCAATCGCCCCGGATAACGTGTACGATCACTCGCGGGCAGTTTCGTCTACTTACCGGTATCGTGATACCACCCCTCATATCGAAAGTTTCGTAGAACCCGCGAAACGTGATGTCCTCGTTCAGATCAAACACCGGACACTACAAGCGGAAAAGCCCCAAATTTGAAACTAGTTACATGACGACGTCAACGAAACCGATAATACGAAGACCCAGTGCTTTGACGTCATGGCCGCGTCACGCGTCCGGACAAGTGACAGTCGACCGGCGACATGATCCAAAAACCTTTAAAATCGATCGGGTGCTTAAGTGTTACTTAAAGAAACGATGCTTTTTTATAGGTTTCTAGCCGCCACTTCAAAAGTTCAAAAAATGTTGATCTTGACGCGGCTTTTGACATGGATTTAAAAACTGACAAACAAAATTCCTGTGTCAATTTAAGATATTCAGTAATGAACTACATAAAGCTATCTGGACTTTACTAAGAATTTTACGCTATAGTTAATATATTTAGCTTTTACTTGATGAAAATCCATTTATCAAAATTAATAAGAACTAAAAGTTCAGATTTTCACGAAATTATATATTTTTACATGACAATTGTTTCGACAACACCGTGTCTTTATCAAATGTAATATTTACAAACTACCTGCTACTATATACACTGAAAAATTTAAATCTAATTGATCGTTAAGCAATACATTTGAAGGTCTCATTGATTTTTGAGCGAAACAATTGTGAATATATATAATTTCGTGAAAATCTGAACTTTCAGTTCTTATTTATTTTTAATAATGGTAAATTCATCTGTTGCTATCTGAACGGCAAAAGATTGATTACTTTTCCGGGTAAGTTTAGCCGTTATAGCTATTGAATATTATATAACCTTTTGATTTTATTTCATAAATAATAACTCATGAAGTTATTATACAGGGTGTTTCCCCCGTTGTTCATCTTACGTTGAAAACACACCCTAGTTTTCTATCATATACATATATATGTATGCCCGAAAACGCTTTCTTTTGAAATGATAAGAAATATACTTTCTTTCATAATTTTCATACCACTTTAGACATTTCATTGATATTTTGGACACTGATAACAAACACTATTGTTTTTTTCATCATTAATATGTCTTTTTCTATTGTCAAATTGGCATCGTATCGAGTTCATTGCCTACACCTGATGATGTCACGCCGGAGCGCACAGTCTGTGTATTATGGGTTTTGTTGACCGCGCCCACACATACGTCTTAACTCTTACGCTAACGTTCTGAATACTGACGACCGTGCAGATCGAATCCTGCGACGTGACCATCAAAATGACGGTGTCGAAATTCGACTCGTCGTCCGTCAGATTCGTCGTGAAGTTATAGAAGAAATACCTGAAGCAAAAGACTCGATGAGGATCTATGAAACAAGCTTTAGACGCGTAAAATACGCGAGAATGATGGTTTTCCGTAAGGCAACTTACAACAACTGAACTTACTGAGGCTCGCTCGGCGATATGGTAATGTTGTACTCCACCGAGTGTAGCAACTGAAAGTCTTCCTTCGAATCCACCACAACCACGAAATTTACATTACGTTCGGATGCGGTAGATATCGTCACTATAGGATAACCTACAACAACGTACGTTACTGGTTGGAGCCACCGAAGCAAAGCTTCACCTCACGGTTGGTTGCGCGCAAATTTTTAAACATGTCGAGGCACAGGGTCCGCGACGATGTCATGTAACGTTGAACGCCATGACTGCTCTCCACCGACATCGGCAAATTCCAAGACAGTAAATTTTTCGGCTGCGCAGCGACAATCATCAACGGGGCATCTGAGGTCGCGTTTTCAGACAAAACCGTCACCCGGGACGGCACAACCTCCTGAAAAACGGCGACTTGTCGACTTCGTGATTCGAATTTTTGATTTGTGAAAATTGTACAAATAAAAATATTTTTAACACACTTAACTAAATTTCCCTGAACATTTAACGAGACTTGGGCATATGCCGCAAAAATGCTACATCTAAACTAAAAACTATCGAATTGACGAACTGGCAGCGGTCGTGTTGGTCGTTGAACGGCGTTACCGCGCGTGCGCATATTGAAAGGCTCCTCTCAAAATTTTGTTGAGAGAAAACATAACCACGTACTAATAAAATGTCTCGTTTTCTATGTGAACCGACAGCATTTCAAATATCACAGTTAAGTAACTTTTACGTTATAATATAATACGTCTATAAAAAGCAAAAAGTTTTTGAAATTTCATGGATGGAACTGTGGTTTTTAAATTTAATCTAAAATGACTTTTCATTTGTTCTGTGGATTGAAATTAGGCAGTCTGTGGCAAAAATATCAAAAAAGAAAAGCCTTGGAAATTTTAATTTATTATCAGATAATAGTGCTGTAGGAATCTTCTAACGTTATGTAAACTGTTACATACTTTGTCTGAAAAACTTGCAAGATCGACTTTAACAACTATACAAAATAACCACAAAATTCCTTCCCTTTAGTGAAGGATCTTTCTTATTTCCTCGCAAACCAATAACGTTTCAGAGCACGTCTTTTTTCAAGGAGCAGCTCCGCCACAACAGTCGCGAATAAAGTAAAACCTCTTCGACTTTCTTTCGCAACATTTAGCCTGAAATCGAGACCTTGTACTTACGCTTCCGCCTGAAAATATTAGTATGTATTCGACAGTCTTGTTGACGGTGGCGGCATAAGGGGATGAGTAAGGCAAATCCAGCACGATTGTGTTCAAAATCTCACAATGAGTCAACACCAAACACAAATAAAGTATGATCAGTACCAGTCTAAACATTTTCGTGCGCGCCACGGAAATTTGATGTTCAATGATGTGTTCCCAGCCGCCCTAACATAACCGGACAAATAATTACTCTCAAAAAATCCACAAAATAAACTCGCCCTGCACCACACAATAACAACATCACAGTCTAAATTGATTGGTTCCATAACTGAAGGACTATTTCATCTTCTTACACAACATAAAATTGGGCATCAGAGCCAACGTCACTCGCCCACACGTAATGTTTGGTAAAGAACGTCTACAACCTCAGACCACTAATTCCAAAATCAGGTTCACGCGTATGGCAAGAACGAGCTTTGCCACATTATGACGTCACCGCGGTTAGACGCGATGCCGATTATCCCGCCATGCTAATTTCGCTAACGCAAAAAAAAATCTCCTTTGTTTTCAAAGTTAAAGATTTTACCCGAGACAGAAAAAAAACACTAATATAAAAATAACACAAAGAAATCCAACAAAAACGCAATGGGACTGTTCTGGTTCAAATGAAGTCATCATCTGATGCTGAGCCGTTCGACATATTAGATCCGTCGGTATCGTCCTCCTGGTCGACGTCAACTGCAATGAAAAACCACACACGAGGCCGGCTCGTTTCGATGAGACAACAAGAGAGTCGCCAAGGACTTACGGTCATATGTGACATATTCCAATTCATCGGTGGTGTCTTCTTCCTCGGAAAATGTCACGTGGTATTCAAGGGATTCGTCGCCATTATCTTCGAAGTCCGCGCCGTCGTCGGTCCAATCAACCTCCTGATCTGATCCGTACAATTCAAAATTTGGATCATATTCTTCATCGTCCTCTTCTTCTTCGGCGGGAATCAATTGTCTGCCCTAAAATGTTTCGAAACTCCCAACATAAATAAATAATGCCCCGATTTAAAACATTTCCATCATTTTATGTTACTGAGTATGAATATTTGGACACAACGCGTTTTGTCCTTTGTACACAATGTATAAATAAATCCAATTTAGAATGAATAGAAAAGAACAGTAGAGAAGAAAATTACAGCTATTATTTCTTTGCCAACCAATAATTTGAAATATGTCTGCGATTTTACCCTGTTTACAAAGTCCATGACGATAATGGGTTCAAACTCGTCCATGCTGTCTTCGTTATCATACTCCTGCTCCATGGGGTTCCCGATAAAGTCCCTCATATTTATTAACAAGCCTACACTAATTACAAAATTCTATTTACAAATGCGTGACGAATTCTAGTTGGCCGACTCGAGCCTCACGTAGTTGCGTTTTGGGGGTGGTATCCGGAAATCTCTCACTTTCACTCTTTTACCGTTGATCTTTAAGACTTGCAGCGCCTGTCTACCCTTATCGAGTTGCTTTTTGCTGTCAAAATCGATTATGCACCAACGACGCGACTTCTAAAAGCAGAATACAGTCCCGAAGGTCAGAAGATACAAGGGCCTTCCGACCCTGTAGCTGAGATTTAACCTGTCTGGGCAAATGGACGATGGATATGTTGGGATCCAACTCTCTTATTTGGTGTTCGTCTTTAATTTTAACTGGTAACCTCAAATAAAGCGAATACCTCTGCTTGGCTTCAGCTCTGAAACAGGCCACGCGCTAGAATCTGTTGTCATCGAACGCCGTAAAATGGCGAGCGAACGGGGGCAATAAAGTAGATGATGGCGCGGGACGGCACCGGCGCGCCGTCCTACTCACCCCATAATTAGCTGGCAGCGAACTTATCGAAAAATGCGACGATAAACATGCCAAAACCAGACTTTGTTTTTTGTAAAATCGTACACGACAATCCCATAGAATGAAACCCTAGACATATCGGACCGTAGTATGGCGAATGGTTAGAGAAACGAGAGATGATTAGATTCGGAATCTGGATTCGAATCGCGCCGCGCGTGTCTGTAATCTGTGACGGCGCCCGAACAGCTCAAAGACGGACGCAGCGGCGCCGACGGGCGTCGAAATCGGCCAGTCGACGCCCGAATTGTAACCGTGCAAGCGGGTGGCGCTGAGTCGTGAACCTATATCGTTTATTTACACCTCGAGGTAATTCAATTTTCTGTCTTCAAGTCGTGACAGAGACCAGAAACCGTATGTTATTTGTTTTTTGATCCACTAAACAAACATGCTTGCCAAAAATTGCTAATCAGATGGGTGTTATTTTGGGATATTTTTCCGAGGGCAACGCGAAATTTGTAGAGCTCCTCTAACCGTTTTGGTGAGTTTTCGGCGCCACCTTGTGCGTTTTTCAATCAAGGATTCCATTATTTTTTAGAGCTTCGAACAGAAGCGATGCCCGCTGCGGCCGCCGACACACGGATAACACCGACGGCAATTTGAGCGGAAAAGAATAAAATGGACAAATGCTCGGAGTCGCCAGATATAAATTTTGGATCATAACCGCTACGTTATTCTTTTACGTAGTAGGCGTCGTTGTCTTGTCCACCGTCTCGCTGCACGGTCTCAAGAGAGGAAGACGGACGGAGAACAAAGTGCGTAAACTACGCATCTGATCTATCCAAATCACCAGGTTTTGAAAAACTTTGGCAAAATAAGCAAACTGTGCGTCGTATTTTATTTTAAAGCAGCCGCTATGCGGTTATTTCTATTGTGCTCCTGCGAAACATCTCCAACTATTTCTAACTATATTTTTTCAACGTGCATGATAGACGAAAACTGTAAATAAGAAAATTGTTGCTCTCAATTGCTCTGTTCTCCACGTTCTTCCATTGCATTTTCAGATCTCCCTGGTTCAAGAATTTTCATTTCATTTTTTTTTTAAACCCACTTGCCAAATTTCAAGTCAATAACTGGAAATTTTGAATACATTTTGTACCCTTCTGAGTAAACAAAATTTGTGGCCTCTGATTCTGCCTAAATAGCAAAATAACCAGCCACTAATTGAAGCAGGGAGTTTTGGTTAGTTAGCCCCAGCCCCTTCTTCCCAAAATTCAATTCCGTTAGGGGATTAAACTCCACATATCCAAACCAGCTATGTTCAAAACTAACTAACCAAAAACCGAAAAAATTGAATGGCCGCCGATTTCGGAGGGAGTATCAGAATTTTATCTCTAACGGTTCGAAAGTTACAGCCATAGGGAACCGAGAACAGACGAACAATTGTTTGACGCTGATCATTTCTGTACAAAAGGCTCCATGACCAGTTGCTGAGATGTGGAATTTGTATACGGTTTTGTATAGGTTTTCATAGAGCAACCTCAAATCGGTGATGTTATAAGACAGTAAAAAAAAAACAAATCCCAGTTGAGTCCACGTTTAGATTTTTATGCTATTTGAGTACTGTGACGGTATTTTATTTACGCAATTAATTAAAAAGATCTATTCGTCGCAGCCTCTGATTCCTGACGATTCTATAAGTCACCGAAAATCGCCGCCCCTGAAGACCAAAACCACTAGCCTAGATTACGGTCCTGGCGCATTCAGGCCGGTCCTGAAACGGTTCAAGATCCAATGGTGTTCGGACCTGCGATACCTAGATGGAGGCGGCGACCACAGCACTGGAAAACCCACAGCGTTAGTTAGTTTTCCGGGAAGTGGCAACACGTGGCTCAGATATTTGCTCCAACAGGCGACAGGTACGAGCGAATCTCATTCTTCATATATTTATCATCATAATTCGGTATTTACATGTCATTGAAGCTTCTTCGACAGATACAAACACAACATTTTTGAGATTCTTTTTTAAAAGTCAATTTAAGTCGAATGATATGTGTTAGCAAATGAGCCCGACTCGCATTTCTGCAGATTTATTAATTAGTACTATATAATTCTTTAATTCCTGAAGACGTCAGCGTAAATCAAATTGCCACGGATTTCACTTACTTCACTTTTACTAAGCTATTATCTTGATTCGGGTTTAAAGGATGTCGTCGGTTGGAATTACAAGATAATAGCCGCGAAAGCATTAACCAATTCACTTTTACTGTCCAAAAAAATGCACCAGTTATTTACACCAAAACCTCCAAAAGAAAATTCGAACCAAATAAACAAAGGATCATCGCCGTTAATTTCGTAAAATGCAAAATGTAGTCGATTGTGGTGTCCAGCGTTGCCATATCGAGGAGGCTTTATGAAGGAAGTGTAACTATATCTGCGTTCATTAAAGAGACTTGATAGTTAATTTTTCGATCCAGTTACCAGAGTTGCCTTAAAAATTTGTTTCCTTAAGATCTTCATCTTCATCACAGCTAAGCATTACTATCTACATATGTGGTCCTTCCACGGTAAGAATGATCTCGTGCGCATGCGTCTCCCCCTTCCCAACGCCGAGCCAAGTTAACAGTCACAGAATACTGTCCCATTGTTTTATTTTTGGTGTTCGATGATTATCTCCATGTCTTTTTCGTGTTTTTGGTTATATCTATGAACAGACTTTAACTCCTAAAACCAATTTCCTTTTTGCCTTAGTCGCTCATAGTTTACTAAAATAATTAAACATAAATTTGGAATACTGCAATGGATTCTATGTTTCACTAATACTTTGCTGAAGTGAATATAGTTGAATACCTCTTATAGTTATAGTTTATAGTTCTTAACACGAAATTGTCGTCTAAAAAAATTGTCTTACGCTTGTTGAAATTGTACGAAATTTCACTACCGAATAGTCGAGCACGTTGCGGTCAATTAACTGACCCAATTCAACCTTTATATCAGCACTTCTTTCTGCCGCACGCCTTTTATGCTAAAACGCTTAACCGGCATATTTGCCTCGAGTGCCAATTATTGGCTACGTCTCGTTCAAACGAAAAAGCAGCCATAGTGTAGCAGCAATGCCGCATCTCAAGTCACACGGACAACGGTAAGGAGTCTTAAATGATTGAAGTACATGCATCTATCATGTATATGCACTAGTTTCAAGTGTTTTAATTATTAGATAATCGCTGCCAGCGCCCTAATCATAATTAGTATAGTACTTTCGCAAATAACTGATTTTGGCCTAATGGCTGCAATATAAAATAATTATTTGTGGGCAGAAATGCGTCCTTGTTATTGGAGAAATATTAAAAATAGTCTCCGCAAATCAGAGGGATCGGGACGACTTTCCTGTTAGCATACTGTTCATGAAACAATAGGAAAGACTCCGATTCTAAGTAATAGGTTTAGAACTACGATTTGTCGTGTGGCTCTAAGGCACCTTCATATGATAGGCTGGCTGACGACAGAACATTCAGGCTGTCTTTGCAAGAGGAGGAAAACTCCAGCTGCGTACCACGACCGAGAGTACAAGGAGCTCAGTTTCTTGAGACCGGACTCGACTTGGACGCCCCGCAGATAATAGAATATAATAGAATCCAGGCCAGAGAAAAGAGCGATACTACCAAACCTCCTCCAAGGATCGATACGAAGTTGTCGAGCAAATCAATAATACCAACTAACATATCAAATCAATCAGAAAATCAACTTCAACCAATTTACTGGCAACAATAATACAGATTTGGACCTAACACACTGTGTAGCAGCTGATTGCGGTAGAGTATATTTGCGAAAATAGAACTGCTGGAGTATCAGAAGCTATCTATCTAGCTAAATACATGCTGCGTGAGATCCTGCTTTTGAGGAACGTTCATAAGTTAACCGTTCCTAGGTTATTCAGCGAAATACACGAGGCGGATTGCACGGTTGTTCGAAACACATTAGTAAGTCACCTTCAGGAACATTAGAATTGAGGTTCTCGTATGCTCTTTCGATCCCAGAGGAATCCAGGATGAAAAAACCGTTGTTATTTCTACCAGTGGGGTTATTGTCACATTCCAAGAAATCAGGCGGACGTAGGGAAGAAGGCTCGAATGTTCCACCACTATCGTGAGGAGGCGATGCATTATATAAACGCGGAGCACCGCACCGATAGGTCAGTCAGTCTAAAAGAGAAACTGAAGCACTAAAATATAAATAATAGAAGGATAGCCGTTATATAAATTATTAGTAGTGTAGTCTACGTGTAAATAGTTATTGAATTGATTACTTTAGACGAAATAAATATTATATTTCGTTAAGGTTTACACAAAGTGACCCCAATTTAAGTCGATTACATTTTTGTGAAGTAGGTTCATATTTTTGCTATTAATATTTCTGGAAATTTTGTTATATTGTCAAAGGGTGCGCTCTAGCGGCTCCACTAAGAACTAGACATATCACATACGTTTGTTAAAATACTTAAGGAGTTGTTTATTTAAGCAAGCATTGAGTCATACATACCACTTTATTTTAATAGATAGGTGAAAAAGTGTTAAACAAAAAATAATTCAAAAAAACTACTTGAAACATACGCCCCCGGAAACCCCACCCCAAAAAAGTCTTGATGACGAATAGCTTCCGAAACAAAGTACTGTTTGGCCAGCCTCTTTCAATACTTTTATTTAGGCGGAAAATTTTAGGCCACTCAATTCCATTAGAACGTAGAGGTCCCCGATTTTGCAGGCTATTACACGGGCTCCGTTTACAAGGACTACGGCCTCCTGAAAAACGGTTTTCCGGCCGAGAGCGTTGCGAATGGCTCGGTGCTGGTGGTGAAGACGCACGAGTGGGGCGCGCGCGCCCGCTCCATGTTCTCCAAGGCGATCTTGTTGGTGCGGTCACCGGGGGCCGCGATCCAAGCGGAGTTCAACCGGCAGAGCGGCGGCCATATTGGATTCGCGTCGCCGGACCGATACCGCCGCTCCAACGGCAAACGTAAGTGACCGCCACTTACTGTGAGCGATTTAACGATTTTGCTATTTAATTAAGGTTCTGGCAGTAAAAGTATTAAGCTAGTTGCGAGGTAAAATTTGGAATGGTGGAATTGTTTTAATATATGTTTATTTTGATAATGCTTAAAAAACTATGACAAACTAGCACTTCCTATGAAATTAACAGCTAATTAAATGTTTGTCCACTAATGGCCACTGACTACCACTATACTTGCTAGTTTGTCGGAAAGTTGCAAGTACATTGCTGCAGTTCGCCTGCGCTATAGGTTTAAAGAAAACAAGCTATGCATTTGGAAATGGCAAACTTTTCCTTTGATGTTAGAGATTCGGAAAAATCCATAAAGGCATGAAAAATACATGCCAATACCCAAGAGAAACGAACACAGTCTTATTTGGCGAATGCGCCGGGTCTTTTACCGTGGGAAATTAACACACTACAGTTCGTCGTTAAAAGTGCCAAGGCCACGTAACGGATGGTGTCACGACACAAGACCTTTTTCGCAAAAGCCTATTAAAAAATATCTTTTGATGCGGTGCTGCCATCTATTAGATGAAACAAGATACATACGTATGGGAATTTTTTAAATTTAACGGGCAAACATTCAAGTTTCTCATATATTTTGGGTGACATTTTTAGACTGGCGTCAGTTCGTATACGACAAGCTCCGCGGCTGGCAACAGCTCAATCTCGACTGGCTGTACAATTTCACCGGCCCAACCCACGTGGTTTTCTACGAGCACCTCGTAGACCGTACCGCGCGCGCGCTACGTTCCGCCATCGATTTCGTGGGTGGAGTCGAGGCGCGAACATTCGACTGCGCGATCGAACGCAAAGAGGGCATCTACCGGCGCAAACGGAGACTGCTCAATTTCGACCCGTTCACCGCGGAAATGAAGCGACGCATAGAGGACGTGCGCCGCACGGTATACGACGCCATTTACAAGATGGCACCCGGACGGTGATCATTCGCAGACAGTTTTTTTTATTAATCCAGGACATAAGCAGTATTAAATCGCAATTGAACCTTCAGAAAATGTCGTCAAGCGCGCAGCCGTGTTGCAGAGTATCGATTATTATCAGCCGAAATGCACAGAATGTTCAGTAATTTCAGTCAGGTAATTTAAATGCCAATCCTACCAATTTCAACGTTTTTGTTAAAAACAAGTTATACCATTGTTTTCTTCCGCAGTTTGAATTTATTATACTCTGGCGCCTGGTGATATAATGGACAATTTTTAGGTTGTCCAATTCTTTGATCCGACCTATAGCGTTTCGGGGCAAACGAACCCGACATTTTCAGTAGTGCGTCTGTGTTTACAAAATTATCACGTCTATCAGAAATTACTCCTAATTATCAGTAAAAATGTCCACTTACACACAATGTCCAGTACCAGTGCAAAAAATCTTCTAAAATACAATATTTCCTAACCTATACATTTTGAGGACAATAAAAAAAATAAAATCAGGAACAATAATACCCAAAGTTCAAATACATAAAATAACGGCGCACGATGTCTCCGATAAAAAAAAAATCAATGTGAAATGTGTTTTAATAATAAATACAGTATTGGTATTCGATTCGTAGTGTCCGTCAATTCGCACTCTAATTTAAAAGAATACTAGTTAGAAATAAGCAAAATAAACTTGAGGAAATTCCGCACTAGGTTCTTACAGCTTCTGAAGTGTTTGGTTAGGTGGCGATTCTTCTTCTTTTTGGTATTCGGCGCCGTCGTCGGCCCGCACGTCTTCCTTTACTTCCGACCGGCGGATGATTTGAACCGATTTTACGTGAACGTTGAATATGCGACAATAAAAAAAAATAAGTAAGACGTCTGAGACGTTGCTCGTAATCTGGCGACTTTGTAAATATGTAATACCGTAATACCGTAGCGAAAAATAAATGGAGAAATGTTTACAATCGCTCGCGCGTTTTTCATTTCGATTTTCCTTTAGAAAAAACCATATATATATAAATTGATGTGCCTAGGGTGGTTGTGATATTTTCGTACACATTTCACTCACTAATCTGGGCCAACGTCAACAACGATATCCACAAACTTAACTTCGGCCGAAACATGCAATATCTTAACTAAAACCTGTCCAATTGAACATCTGTCAGCGGCCATGTTCGTTGTTGAATGCCGTAAGACCTTCTGAAAATTGTTCTCATAGTTGCTTCAAAAGTTCCTGAGAAGAAGAAGAAGAAGAGAGTGGCAAATAAGATGAGTATTATCGGCCGCTTGGGGTAAGTAAATAAGCAGTTTCACGCTTAAAGTATGTTAAAAAGAAAACTATTATATTTAGGAAGTACAGAACCAAGTATTTATTACATTGGCACATATGAAAAATAAAAAAAAAAACAAAAACTTTGGGATTCTCAGTCTTGCAGTTGTCCTGCCATTGAAGCATTGAATCCAGGGGTGGCTCTTCATATTTTTCGTTACATAATGGACAAAAATAATCTTTTTAAAGATCTTAATGGGACTGTTTTTTTCTTCATTTTGTTTGATTTAGCTAATTCTTCGTTTTGTTTAATTTCCAAATCTTCTTTAAATTGACTCGAAGTTATTATTCTCGATTTTAAACTTTTTCTTTTTTCGGCGTCAGTTCTTTTTGGCGACGGACCGATAGCAGTATGTCAATATGTTCAGTTTTCTCTGCCTTCGAAAATTGTGGTGTTTTGAAAACCTTATGATAAGTTTATGGCTAAATTCCAGTCGCGAGGGAGCATTGCCGACTGTAGCAACTTACTTGTAGGCTTCATTTAATTTGATATCGTGTGATAGCCCTCCCAGGATGTTGAGTCATCCAACGGTCACACTCGATGGCCTTAAGGGGACCAAAAAAAAACTCCTGTCTATTGGTTGAACTTTGTGGCTGCTGTGGGTAGCAAAAGGGATAACTGTGTCTTCTGTCTTCTACAGTAAAGAGATGCTTCCAAATTAATATGGGACGAGTGATTGTCTAGAATTAATAACATGATCCTTAAAATGATATAACCATTTCATGAACAGATCTGAATTTATGAATCCGGAATCAGATACCATACCAACACATCCGGTGGGCCCTGCATCAAGGAGCTCACCCTTCATCCTTTTCCTCGGAAAAATGAAGGCAGGTTGTATTAATTACCCAATGGCGCTCATGCAACAAACGGTGGTTATTGTAATGCCTCTCTCAACAGATACAACTTTTCCTACCACTTTTTTTTTTCACGGATACGACTCTGGGTGTTTTTCTGGGAACCGTACTCATCCCAGTTTTACCCATGTTAAAGAAAATTGTATTTTTCATACAGTTCCTTCAAATTACGAAATAATCTGTCAACTTGTACTTCATTTAAACAAATTGCCCTTGCAGGACTTGGATGATGTAATCGCAGTCTCTCGTGTCGCTCTCGCACACTTACAAGGAATAATTCGATTTTTAGGGCCGCCGACGAATTTGGAATTTTATTTTTACTTTTCTCTAGAATTTGATGGTAAAAATTTTCTGCCAATTAACGTAGCTCACTAGTAACGCTGATAATGATGGTTTCAATGAGTGATAGAAAAGTGAGACGTTTTTAACAATAAAAAAAAATACTCCTACTAATGTTTAATCACTTTATTAACATTTAATTATTTAACCTTATTATTTGATAATCCAAAATATTTTCTTCAAATGTTTATAAGAAATGAAATTTAGAATCTAGCCTATTTCAGAGCTAATTTTATTAAATATTGAATTATTTAAGTAATAAAATGTGTTTTTTTTTCAAAGAAACTTCCTCAGGCTACTGTCATACTTTTTACAAAACTTCCGGATTCCTCCTGCGTCGATTTTCGCTAAGTCGAAATTGCTGACGTTTACGTCAACCTCTGAAGAAGCAAACGGGATGATTGACGAAACGTTAGCAAGCAAAAACCGGCGCAGGAGAAATGCAGAAGTTTTGTAACAATTAATAAAATGTGTATTGAAATAATCAGTTATTAGTCCCGCGTCGATTTCTTCGAGACACTGTTGAAGTTGAAAAATCACATTTTTAATGCAATAAACATTTATTAAATTTAAAATAATTAAAATACCAGGCAATCAAAAAAACATGAAATAATGACATGAGAAATGTGCAGCGTTTGGTAAGATAAAAACAATATTGGTTTTCGTGGAAATCTTGATAATTAGAAATGAATTATTTCTGTCAAAGGAGATGTTTTATTCATTTCTTAAAAGGTTTTTTTTCACATTTTACCACTTAAATACGTCAACAATTATTAAAATAGTCTCCAACAATTGATTGGTGATTGTTCTTGTTTTTCCGCAAAGTGGAAATGTTTCCCAAAATTCAACTGTTTTTAAGTGGTACGTTCTATTCATATTTTCCGATATTGATTATTAATTAGCATGAAATTACTAGTAGTTATTCTACATACACCAAATTGTGTCCGTAAAATAGGCGAAATATATGATAACCATTTAATTTAAACGATAAAGGATAAACGGTTCCACAAAGTACAAGTTACCAACCTTAAAAAATCGGGTATAAAAATTGAGAAATAATTAATATTATAAAAAATTTCTTATTTTATGACACTTTTTTTTCCTTGACTGTGAGCTACGCGCCTGCTTTTTTTAGACGGCCACCCAAGCATGTTCGTATTTTTCGATAAAATCAAACAAACACAAATAAACCCGAAGCTTCTCTGTGGGAATCGAACCCACAACCTCTGGCAAGTGGAGTTGGCAGTTCTAACGCCTTACCAACCGAGCTATCCTCGGTCGCTGTTATTATAATTCTCTGCTATGATAAGAACGAGAAGACTATCCATTACTACTAATTTAGATCAAGTTTACTGGTGCCGTTTTAACGTACAACTCTCCTTTTGGTTAGTTTTTTCTATAGGTTTTCTTACATGGTCCACGTATTTAATTCGGCAACTCCAATTTATTAATAATTATGCAATAATCCCGGCGCGTGACGCTAATAACTGTTTTCTGTTTTGGCCAAGTCTATTCGCGTCACCGCATAATATTCCGATCTTATCGGCAAAATTTCGGCATCTGAAATTCAGCGGTCGACTTTAAAACCGTAAACACAGAACAAATACAGACGACGGTGCGCGTATCTATCAAACGAAGACATCGACAATGTTGCAAATCGCCGGACCGCGTTTGTATATCTTTGCGAACAAAAAATACGCGTTCAACGCCACCCGCCGTATCCGAGTAGGCGTCGTATTCCGCCGACGCATCACGAATTTCAAATCGCCGATAAAATTAAATTTCGTAATGGTCCCGCGCGATCATCTGGTCGGCCGTTATTTGCATGTCGAACGGCCGAAAATTCATGAACCTATGGCCCTGCTAAAAATTCGTCTGGACCATTTTGATCGATTTTACGACATTTACAAAGCAAATCGCACGCCCAAGGCCAAGGGCACACGAAGGTGACGATTTCGGTATCTGTATTACTGTGACATGAAGACGTATTTGTCACATTCCGTCAAAAAGAAAACATGTTACTTACCTGCGGTAATTCTGAAGTACGCCGTGTTGTCGGCACGCACTCAAATCGCGATTTTTATAACGATATTTCGTCTTTAAAAACAGCAAAACACTGTCGACATTCAAAACTGACAGTTAACGCGATGCAACGCGCACGCCCGCACCACCCGCGAGAGGAGTACTACGCGTCGGCGTGAACAAAGCACGCGACGGAATTCCTCCGCCGCAACATATGACACCTTACGTTTAAGCGCATTACTTGCCGCCAACGCGTCGAACGTTGAGATATTTGATGGATCCTCGAAATTAACCCGGAGAGATTTAACCGAGAGCAAATACTCAACTGTGGATTGCAATTTTTAAATCTCTCAATTTAACGCGGAGGGTCCCGGCAAAGTTGGCGTTGTCGGATCGTACGAGCCCGATAACCACGGATAGTTCCTTCATTTGTCTAAAATTCAATGTCACGGATCATGGACGAATTAATGATGCGCATACATACATTATACGGTCTCGTATCGAGTCCGCCCACCGTCGCGGCAAAAGCAAAAAGTCGCCCCGAGCATTTGATTTGATTTCTCCGCCTCGGAGCGTCGTGTTTTCAAATCAAAAGGCTTTTCCGCTTGTTTCGTAAATAAGCGCGCGGACAGCGACGTGCGCCATTAACGTAATACGGCTCGGCCTAAGACCTAAGCCGATACACGACCACAAACGCTATGGATTTCGATAAAAAATAAAAGTTCCATTATTAGGAAACTTGGTTAGGGTCGTAAAGATTTCATAAGAAATCTTAACTAATGACTAGGTTATACAATACTTTAACATTTAAGGGTTAACATTATTGTTTAAGCGTTTTGACTAACTTATGAAATTAATGTAATTTAAGAAAGTCGAATTTTATCTTGTCGAAAATTGCTTATCTTTTTTTACATGTTAAATTACGTTTAACGATTAAAAGGCATTAGTTGCATTTAATGATTTTTCTGTTAAATTTAAATTACAGTAAAACCGATCTAGCGTGCGGGAAGCGTCACTTAAGTACGTCAGTTTCGTTTCCCATGAATGCGAGCCACTTCGGACATTCTGAGGTTTTTTAATTCTGACGGTCATGTCAATGAATATATTCGTGTTGTTTTGCGAAAATGTACCCGAAAACTAACGGTCGTCGAAAAAGTATAGTACGCAACACTTTTTAAGCCACTCGTTTACCGCACTTGTTGCATAATATACTATTATAAATCAACCTTAATTTAGTCGAGTTTGAGGTTATGATATCGCTGTTGTGAGATAAAGGTATTCTTTCAGTTATTTTCGTGACGGTTTTCTTAGTTCTAAGAAATATATTTCGAAATAGTATTAAGGAATGACTCGAAACGTTCAATTGCAAACAGGTCGCCCCGTTATCTAGAATTTCCAGTAGGTAGCGGTGTAAAATTATAGTGTAAATCGCCCAGCGCTGACGACACCAATGATGTCGCGTATCCTTACCCAACAGATACTAAGTGATAGTATAATAGTAAAAACCGGCATATCCTGTTTTTCGTCTGGGATCTCAACGTAACGCGCATACCATTTCCGATTCACAAACGAAAACACGCCTACTATACATAACAATGAATGAAATGTATGCGTTCTTGTATCGTTATCGAGGACTGTTGGGCCGCGTTTCCTTGTTGGTAAGCAAGGGAACCGCGTTCTATCATTACGCAACCGGCAGCTTAGCGATGTTTGCCCGTTTTGCACAGAAAAACCTCTCTCTAGGGTAAGTTGTAACGTAGTTGAACGAGAGACGACAAGAACTGTCGGAGCCTTTAAGAGTGAGAGGTCCATTTTCGGTGACCTTGCTTCGATAGCTTCGTTTGGCGTTTATAACCGTTATAGACTGAGAGAAATTTGTTTACCAACTGAAAATCATATTTTTGAAAAAGAAAGTGCACATTTATTTCACAATTACAATTATTTTTACAATCTTTTACATACTTTATAGGTATTATCTTTAATTAAAATATTTGCATACAAAAATAATACAATTGTTTATATCGGTATTTAATTATAAAAAAAATTACTATAATAAATAAATTGATATAATATCGCCTCAAAATGTAAAAATAGGTGCTATATATCGAACATCTGGGCACTTTTTCACTGGTACTGTACTGGTGTAGAGATTCTCTATCGTAAGCCTAATTGAGAAGTGTTACTGATATAGTTTTTTTATTATCACTCATTTTCGACAAGCCAGTGCGCTTAGAAACCTGGATTGGCCACTGTCGCCTCTCGTATGATGGGGCTCTCTGAAAAAACACAAAACAAGCCGCAACCAGATATAAACGCTGACTAGGTTAGTTTTCGTCGCAGTAAAGGTCAATGCCAACCTATTCACAGATACAGCGCCCATAGTTTTCGAAAAAGGCATCGGTTAATCGAATCCACGTCTTTTTTTTTATTTATCAGAAATACCCCATTTTTATGCTTCAAAATCGATGCAAACGTATTCAGCTGAGACGTTTTTCGGCTATCATAATAAAACTTGCAGATGCAGTTTTTTTGGAACCCGGAATACGTTTGCATATGGTATCGGGAGAGCGAAGGACTTTGTGGTCCACATACATATAACGGAATTCCGGAAATTTTCCCGAAATTTCTCGCCCGGCCGCGCCGCCTAAATCTGATATTCAATTAGGTGGACTTATGACCTCGTTTCGGGATACCGCCGGGCGTATAGTCCTCGGGGCCGATATATACAGGGTGTTCAGAGACACAAAAAGTATAAAACGGCACCTCGTCACTCGATTTTTCGGTATATCCGAATCTTTTTTGCGCTATGCCCCTTTCGAATTGAAAAATTCAATCATTTGACTTCAATTTTCTGATAGTTACATTTTTCAACAGTATTATTAAACATTCGTGTTTGTTCAATTTTGATATGATACCATGTTAATTATTTGTTGGTTTTTTTTATAGTTATTCTATTCTATTATACTTTATTGTTTATAGTTAAATGCAATTTTATAAGTGTAACAAGCGTCCTTGGAAAGATAAATACGTATTGCTGCAGTTAACTCGTACAGAAGTTGCAAGAAGTGCACAAAGAAACATATTAATAATACGACTTGGTTCTTGAAAAATTTGCCCAGGACCGATGAAAAAAAAAAGGAAGAAAAAAAAAAGAAAAAAGGGAGTTAAACATTAAGGACTAACTAAATAAATTTTAGAATTTTATATGTAAAGTGCAGGTTAGCAGGGTGAAATTTTCAGGCATGAGCGTAAGATCGTTCCCATCTCTATAAAAACATTATAGCCGAGAGAGGCGCAATAATTTTTACCGTACTAGAATACTGTTTGCCCAGATCGTATTATTTCATGTTTTGGTGATATCAACTGGCCGGTAAAATGTCAAAACTTGTGTCTACATCAATAAATCTGAAACTTTAGTACAAACCGTCATCCAAAACACATAAATAATGGCTGCAGAACGTCTAGATGCGGCCATTTAAAGTGAGATTATTATAATCCATAACACAGGTCTACAGTGATTCTGATGTTTGGGGTCCCTTTTTCCCTATCGCGTCATTCAACAGAAAAAATGAGAAACAAATTGTGGATCCCAATCTTGACTTTGCTATCGCCATGGACCAGATGTACCGATGCCTACCGTCCCAAAAGAACTACAAACCGTCATATCCTCGTAATCAGAGGAATCTAATTCCGACCCAGATGACTCAGATTTCACACCAAATTTCAGAGAGCCCGAAGTGTTTAGTCTTGGAAAGTTTAAGAACAAAATATATTACAACACTTTCGTTCTCTAGGTTGTAATATGAGTTCGAAAGTGCATTTCTTGTTTTCACTTTTGAACTATGCTCCTGAAAATCTCGGAGCAGTTAGCGAAGGACAGAACAACAATAGTGCCCATTGTTTTTGAGAGAGCGGTTTCACCAGGACATTAAGGAAACACACAGCCGGACACCGCAGCTACCAAAATTATATAAAATCAATTTTCAAAATAAAAACATCTGTCAAAAAGTTTAATTTTGTAGCCCTGTGTAGTTTTATTTTGTTTTCACAGTTCGGAAACTACAGTCGCATCACCCTTTAATATTTCAGCTATCTTGTTCATCGAAATCAGAATCATGGTCAACATAAACATCCTCCCCCGCATACATTGTTGTCACAACACCAACGTTATTTAAAAAAAAATACATTCTCCCGTATATCGACAACCAGAGAGCCCGTTAAGAAATTCAAATGTCCTGAATCGCATTAGGCCAGAAACCGAACGAATATGTTAATCGTTATCTATAAAAACGATACCAGGACGACCGTATCGCTTAGACAACGTCCCGGTCCCCTTTCGGCGACACATCCCCCACCCGCGACCGACCCCGAAGTTTTCACCACCAAACATGTTGTCTCTCGTCGTCGCGACGCTTTGTTTCGTTCTTGTGGCGTCGTTTATCTTCGCCAAGAGACGGCCGGCGGCGTTACGCCTGAAACCGGATACGCTAGAACCTCCGTCGCCCATGGGGCTGCCGATAATTGGCCACATGCACCTCCTCGGTGGCTACGAGGTCCCTTATCAAGCGTTCACGGAATTGAAAAAGAAGTTCGGGAACGTGGTGAAACTGCAGCTCGGTACCGTCAGCTGCGTCGTCGTCAACGGGAGAAAAAACATCAGGGAAGCCCTCGTCACCAAGGGGCACCATTTCGACTACCGGCCCGATTTCGAACGTTACCGGAGGTTGTTTTCCGGCAACAAACAAAACTGTAAGTATTGAAGATAGAAAGCTAGGCATCGACAGTAAATTTTTATTCATAGATCCATTGATAAAGGTTCAATCCTTAGTCCCCAGTTCTATCGTTAGTAGAGTTATTAAAGAGAATAGAATAGAATAGAATATAATGGAATAGACGCATGCATGGGCATTTTTTTGAGTGAGGTACTCGGATTTTAAAATTAAATATTTCTCAAAAATCAAACCCAATGCTCCTCTTATTTTAGAAATAGGTTGTCCCATCGAAGCACTCTATCGGCAACCACCCTGCAAAAAACTATTCATATTAAACTGCTACGCGGTATTATTTTATGGGGAATACGGAATTGCACTTTTGCACACAAACAAAATTGTTTTCAAAAATCACACTGCTAAATATCCGTCCAAATTGTTGTTGTCAATTTTATATTTGTAGCGAAATATTTTAAAGAGGATCGAAATTTTAAATATATTTATGTTTATTAATTGTTTATTAAAAAGTTTGAAAAAAATTCTCGGTGTCCATGGTAACTAAAATAAAATATCATCAATACTATTTAAAAATCTTCCGGATTGTTCCTGCGCCGGTTGTTTATAAATCAAACGTTTCGCCAATCACCTTGTGGGTTTCTTCAGAGCTATATTGAAACTGACTCTCGCATTCTACTCTGTACCTGCTTATATACACTGTCTCGGTTGACAGTCGCGGTTAAGATTGTTTGGTTGCCAACCTTCTCATGTTAAAATCAGCTCTTTTGTTTACAGACCCGTAAAACTATCTTCACTCACTGTACCCAGAATTAATTAAAACACCTCACATCTACTCTTCTCTCCATATTACAGATATTAAACTTTCCATCACAAAATACACTTCACCACAATCTTCCGAAAGCAACCCACACTTGCCGCTGTCGTCCTTTCTTACATTCAAAATATCACTGACCCCATATCAATAGTTCTTAAGGAATATAATGTGGGAACCAATTTTACCACTTGTACAAAAATTTCTCAACATTTTCGATAGGTCAAAGACAAAATTCAGTTTGAGATTCCAGGAGTTCAAAGCATTCCAAGCGTATGTGGCATTGGAGATACCGGACTCAAAGAACACGAAAGACCCTTAAGACTACCAGAAATCACTCAAATGCTCATGTTCATGTTGATGTTCCTTCTTTAGCTCCACCTTCTTCAAAGAATATATAAGCAGGTATGATCTGTTCATAGATATAAGAAAGTGACTAACTGATACGAATTAAGGAAAGACCCGGGCAAGCTGTAAGAATGAAATATGGCCGAACAGGTCCGTACTTTGTCTAGAATTTAATTATTTGGGGTAATCCAGAGAAGAATCTTTAATATTTTACGCAGACAGAGAAAATCCATTTGGAATCCAACCATCTTTAGAGCCAGCATGCAAAATAGTTATTCTTTTACCTCTTTTTGATGTCGCGTTTGTTTTACACTTATCAGTTGAGTCAACCCAACCCTTTTTTTCATGCAAGTAAATAACTGGCCTTTGTTGTTCTCTGTAAATCCTAATTTTTTCTAGATATTCCAGTCGCCATTTCCGAATTCTAAAAGATTTCGTTAAAACTTGCCTTTTGTCAATTTTTTTAAATCTAAAACCCATGTGTTGAATACACTTTCATAAGGCAGTTCTGCCATATTTAACACCGGTTTCGTCTTTTTCAAGCCTCCAAATGAAGATATCTAATGTAGGCACGCTTTGTTCCTCGTATAACTGGTAAATTTTACGCCGTATTATATCTTGATCACTTTCATCTACACTCGAGAAAATGTCAGCATCGCTTCTTTTTTTCCTCGATGAAATGGGATTATTCACAATTTTCCATACAGTTGATGTTGGAATTTTCGTCAATGTGGCCGTTTCTGCTAAAGATGCTTGCTTGCTGGCACCACATTCAATGACAATCATCAAATAAACATTGTTTATAACTTCCTTAGTCTCAATAGAATAGTATTCTCTACATTTGGGCGGGAGTATCTCCTGAGATTCACTAGACTCTCACATATTTTGCATAATTCGCACACGATTCAACACACGTTGTATTACATACGAATAAGAATGATTACTAATAAATTTAAACTAAGTATACCAAACCAAAGAATATTAAACACAGGTAGGTATAAAATTATTTTCTATTACGGACCACAATTTTACCTGAATTTAAATTCCGAAACTTTAGGTGATAATCTTGTTGCATTGTATGTTAATGACCACCCTTGGATAATCCCATTCAAAAGCAATTGGTCACTTTCTTATATCTATGAACAGACTATACAGAGTAGATTGCGAGCCAGTTTCAGTTTGGTGCTGAAGAAGCCAACCGGATGATTGGCAACCGATTTGTAAATAGTATTTCAGTACCCGCGGAAGTTTCTTTGAAAAATTAAAATCTCATCCCCCTCCTCAGCGCTGGCGTTCTGCGACTGGTCGGCCACGCAGAAAACGAGGCGGAACATGTTGAAAGCGTACACGTTTCCTCGCGCCTTTTCCAATAATTTCTTCGAGCTGGACGACATCATCGCCGTCGAGACGCGCCGCCTCGTCAACTCGATCGTGCCCGGCGTCCGCTTCGACTTAAAGCCCCAGATCCTAAAAACGTGCGCCAATATTTTCACGACCCATTTCTGCTCGGAGACGTTCGACGCTGACGACGCAGCTTTCACGAGGATGACGGAAAACTTCGACGAGATCTTTTACGAGGTCAACCAGGGCTACGCGGCCGACTTTCTGCCGTTCTTGCTGCCTTTGCACCAAAAGAACCTGCAGAGGATGACGCAGGTGGCGCGGGAGATCCGCGAATTCATCAATCGAGACCTCCTGAAGAATAAGTACGAGGATTTCGACGGCTCCGCGACTCCCTCCGATTACCTGGAGAGCCTGATCGGACATGTAAAGAAGGAAGGGTCGGGTTTCGATATGGAGACGGCGCTGTTTGCCCTCGAAGATATACTTGGAGGGCATTCCGCAGTAGGAAATTTCCTCATGAAGCTGTTCGGATTTTTGGCGAAGGAGCCGGAAGTGCAGAGGAAAGTTCAAGCTGAAATCGCGTCGGTGGTGGGGGGCGAAAGGCCCGTGAGTATCTGCGATCGGAACCGGATGCCGTACACGGAGGCGGTCATCTTCGAGGCGATCAGGGTGATTGCCTCACCAATAGTGCCCCGAGTGGCCAACCAGACGAGCTCCATTGACGGTAAGCAGAAAAGGGTCAGATGTAGGGTTTCATTTCTTTTTCTCTTCAGGAATCAACATTTTACTTTGTGACAGAAAGATCTCAGCCCGGCATCGATCTCCTCTTTAGATATTAGATTTACAGTGTACTATCAAATTGAATATCAGAAGCAGAAATTTTTTTTTTGCAGAAACTTCATTTGAATTTCTCAGTCTTAACTTTTGACATAATGTCTGTGATCCAAGGTGGATATTATTGCAAATGTTTTTTGTTTCTAAATTATTATCATGTCATACTAATGATAAAATCAAGTTAACAATAGAAACGTTCTTATGCCGAATTTTAGCAATTAAAAAATGTTAATTTAATTACACCACCTTTTAATGGGTCTTCTACATACACCGTCAAAAAGATATAGTCAGAAAATATCCCAACCACCTAGTTCAAAGCATAAATGATCGAAATGATGTCACAAAGTACCCGTTACTAAACGACTCACCCCAAAAAACTCTGTTAATGTTACCATAAAATTGTATGCCTACTACAGGTTACCGGATCGAGAAGGGCACCTTGTTGTTCCTTAACAATTACGACCTGAGCACTTGTCCCGAGCTCTGGGCGAAGCCCGACAAATTCCAACCGGAAAGGTTCGTCAGGGACGGCAAACTTCACAAGCCCGACCATTTCCTGCCGTTCGGGGGCGGCAGGAGGAGCTGCATGGGGTACAAGCTGGTCCAGCTGGTGTCATTCGGCGTGGTGGGGACAGTCCTGCAAAATTTCACCATCGTTCCGGTCGAGGGCGAGAACTACCGCGTACCCGTAGGATCGTTGGCCTTGAAAAAGGACACTTTCAAGTTTGGGTTCGAGAAGAGGCGCGGGCCCGCGACTTTGTCGTCGCCGGTACCGTTGTGACGTACTTCTTTCGCCTAATTTTTCGATAACAAGGAGTCAAAATTTCCGATTCAGTATTAAAATCACTTGGTCGGCAACGTAACGAATTATCAAAACGACCTGTTCGACTAATTACGGGTCGCACAGAAAAACCAATCCGGGTCCGGCGTCTAATTTTATTCGCGGTTGTCCACGGTGTTCGTTATTATTGGCCGACCGGCAGTTTCGAGGAGACCGAACGAAACGAACGGCACTGACCGAAGCGACGAACGGTAACGTTGGTGGCGGCGTCGCGCCGATTTTTTGAATATACGCCGAGCGATGGCGCCACCCGCGCAAAAACCGAATTGACTGAGCTACGTAGTTGATTTCGCAAGTATTACTTTATATTGGCCGCGGCATCGACGTTTATTTAAATTTCTAAAGAGGTGTATTATTTTTAATAAAACTATATCGGCGTTCAGCGTGTAGCGTATTTTTTTACCCACCCTATTTATTACTCTATTTATTGCTACTGCCACTAGGGTGGCCAACAGTACCGTATTATATATTATTGTACTATATTTCACTATATACTATAGTACACTATATACTATTTAAAAGTATACATAAAATCGAGCACAACTAAAAAATCTTACTTTGGAACGCGCTCGTAAAATCTGCACTAAACTTTTTGTGCATCGCTGGTTGTTGGAGCTTCTTCTTAGTAATTGTAACCGTAAATTAATAATAACCGTTTGCAAGGGAATTTATTTCAAAATAAAGGATTCTCCTTATTTTGTTAGAAAATGTACAGATCACATTACATTTACACTCTTTATTCCTGCGATATCTGTTGTTACAGGGTAAGTTTAGAATTAATAAAAAACGAACTTTTAATAAATACCAATTTAAATATAGATACATAAAAAAGATAATTTGTAACTAAAACTAACAAATACACGATTTTTTTATTTTGATTTATAAAATTGATATTTTTAAAATTACGAATGCATTCTGTTTATATATTTATAACCTACTTTACAAAGATTTTGTCCGAACAATCACTCAAAGATGTACAATATTGAATTCTGTGGGTGGCGTTGCACCAGACAGGTCGATTCTTGTCCGCTGTGTACAGAATCTCAGTTTTTCAACTTTTAAAACTTGTCTTCGTTAAAATTGTTATTGAGGATGTAAGCGTCCGGCAGTTTCGCTGTTTTCCCAATACACGCCGCTAACCAGGACGGAGGTCCGTGATGGTAGCTAGGGAAGCCGTGTTTTTTTATAGTATGACAGGCAAGGATACACCTTTCGTTGGGGAAGAAAACTGGACAGCCGTCACGAATGACGCGAGCTCATTAAAAGAAGAAGATGTACAATATTAAGGTTAAGATGCCCACATTATGGCATTGACAGATTGTAACAATAGGATCTTTTCAGTTTCGCCTACTTGATGCTGCGCCTATGCAATTAGGTAATCATCAGTGCGTCGAGAGTTTCTGACTTAGATCGAATAACAATTTAATCATATCATAAACAAAAAGAGACCTTGCGTCTCTTGATAATACAAGAAATTTTGAAGTGAAAAAATATTGGGATAGGCAATTTAATAAGCAGATGCGATAATGTATGTATTCTTTTAGAACCCTTTTGATTGACTGATTTTTACGAAAGTTTTCGAAACTTCTGTTCAACAATTTTGCGTTCTCCTCAAACTCAAATGAAGGTTCCACTTTTTGTTCTGTAAAACGTTCGGAACAAACACTACATTTTTCAATCAGGTTCTTTATCCCATCCCACGCATATCTAAAATTTAATACATACCGTTTCCATCCATTCCACTAAGAATTATTACTTACAAGCTAAATTTTCATCTCAAAAAAATTGTATCAACCTAATGCCGAGTAACGCATTACGTCTCCCATTACGTCCCGTACCCCTTAACGGCTGACCGGTGCGTAGGGCAATCTATTGTGTCGGATGTTGGTTGTCACGTGGTGATTTGCTTAGGCACCGTTGCCAAATGTTTAATCTGACGACGCACCGTTTTATTCGAATCAGCCCGTTCTGATGGCACTCACTGCAAATAATTACAGGTTCGCACACTGATTGCAAGAAAAACAGCGCGGTTTCATTTTTGTTTGGTAGACGGACGATTCCGGGATGAAGTCCAAAGTTCCCCGAAATTACGCTTACGCAAACGGAAGAGGAATAAAGGCAGCGGCGGCGGCTTGGACAAAAGGCCAAAATTTCGCGTTTCCTCTATATGCTCGTATAATTCGGTTTTTGTTCGGGCGACCGGCTTTTGTCCGCTTTTGTGTACTTTTTTCGCAATGGTTGCGAAAAATTACTTCCGCGCCGCGCGCGGGAACGAAAAAAGTACCGTTAGATTTTGTTTATTTGCCGCAATGGCCGTGCGACGCGCGGGTTATACGATTCGACATTTTCATTAGTGACTTGAATTAAAAATTAACCAAAACCGTTTTAAACTAACCAAAATCCACCAATCGCTCCTGTGGGATTAGCCTGTAGGAAAAACAAAAGCACTGTTCTTCTTCGAGACGTTTCGCCAATATATTGATACTTTTTCAAATCAAAATTCTTCTCTCGCTGCGGGGGCAGAATTTCACCTTTTAAAGGTCAAACAATTGATGCCTTTACGGGAATGAACTACTCGGGACGACTGTTGCCTTTTTTAAAAACTTTATTTAAATTTACAACCGTTTAAAATGGTCTGTTACAATAACACATCTAGACAGAACTCCCGTCGATACCGTTAAACTACGTTTTTATATGTAGAAATAGGACTCTGCTGGGTCAGCATTCTCGGATCTTCGCTAGTGGGATAACTCGGGGCATTAATTACACCAAGGTTAAGTGACATCAACAGATAATCTCCGTATTCGCAATATAGAAAAAGGACAGTAAAAAGTGATTACGGCATATTTATTTATTTATCTCGTCACCTTGCATAAAATTCCTTGCAGCTGTACCCTCTATAAAGCTACCAAATTGCTAGATGAACCTTCTTCGAAGAGAGCAGGAAACCAAAGAGCTCTAGCGAAGAACGTTATCCGGTCTCATCGCAAAGATCATTCATTTCGTCGATTAGGTTCGTTCAGAGAGCGCGGAATAAAAACAATGCCTCCCGCTTAAAACGGTTGACTACGTTCCTAATTTTGATGTCATTAAGTGCGTCACAAGGAATTTTACGAACGCGATGTGTGTGTATAGTGTGCCCGCAAAAACGACAAAAGATGTGACGCATATAAGACCGCGCTCTCTAGGCGTCATTTTGACTAACAACGTAGCTTTCATTTTGAAAATACGAGCAACATCCATAGTAAACTTAACATTAACCAAAACTAACCTAAGAACATATATAATCCAAATTTACCTGACAATGGTAGTGTTGTAAGGTTTTAAAAGCCAATTTAATTTTTTAATATGAGGAACGTTCAGATGGAGAATATTTAAATCAAATCAATACCATTAACCTTTGACTCAAAGAAAAAACGTTAAGAAATAAACAAAAAAAAAACGATTTGATCAAAATTAAATACGAATTTGCTTCATTGGTGGTTCTTAATAAATCAATAGGAAGCTGTATGATTATAATATACCTAATGTCTTCTTGAAACTAACACGTGCATGATAATTGTTATTACTTATTCTTATAAAAACAAAAGTAATATTTGCATTTCGATAATAATCTAAAATATAGAGGTAACTAACTGACTTAAAAAATACAATAAAAAAATTAATAAATGAATTGTTAATTAATTAAAAATGTTCCCATTAGATGCGGATTTTAGTGGTGACTGAATATCTCAAACACCAAATAGTGTATTGTATAACAAATTTGATATACGTCACTTTAGTCAAGAGCTTCATTTGGCACTAGCGGAGCGGCTAGTGGAAGTTTATACTTTCTATGTTATATTATTATAGTTTTGTTCGTTATTGGCAGGCTGAACTCGCCAAGATTTTTACAAGTCGTGGTAAAAATGGAAGGCAACCTTCGCAATTTGACGCCAACATGTAAAAAGAAATTTGGAAGGCGACTTTAATGCCGTTAGCGAATAGTTATCCCGTGTGTGAATATTTTCACGTTTCCAAGGGTAAGTAATGTGGGCTGCATAACTATCAAGCATTACGTATTGCTTTTTGCGGTAAGGAGAACGATTCTGCATGCGTACCAAGTTGTAAAGCAGCAGTAACGCAGGATTTGTGCTTTTGTTTAGGGATGCTCATTGTCACCACATTCTTAATACTCGATACCGGCAATAAATTATAAGAGATGGTTATTTCAATTTATTTTTTTTTTAAAGAAATATATATTTGTTGCTTTTATTTCTAAGATTAATTAGATTATGAATATTCATGATTATAATATAAGAAATCTTACTGATTTCCTCCGAGTCAGCGCTGGAATGCTACTAGCTACTGTAGATATAGCCTATACTGATAAAACTTATTTTTAGAAAAAAAAATGGTTAAACGACCATGCAGCAATCAATAAGTTTGGATGCGCATTTTTAAGGCAGTATTTTCTGAAAACAAGTTAGATGTGTGGAGATCGCTGTGCAGAAAGAAAATGGCCAAAGTGCAGGTTAGTTGGTGAAATACACAGGCAAGCTTGAAAATTCATTTCCTTCTCTACGACGATAATATCATTGCCGGCTGCGGCGCATCAATTTTTATCGTAGCAGGGTCACTCTATTCTCTAATAGCTATATGCACTACACAGTTGTTACAACACACAATTTTAAATAAATGCTTGTTAAAGTTTAATTGGTTTGTTATCTGAAATTTTGTTCTGATTGTTTTATAATAATTGTTTTTTATACTTATTACACTTTTTACTTTATACTTTTATTATTATGGCTTTTACAGCTTCTAATATTATTTTTTTGTAGCTTTTATGCTAAATAAATATATTAGAATACTATTATTTTCTTCACTACCTTTGTCGTCCATATACTAAGTTATTATTTATTGTTAATAAAAATACACACGTTCGAGAAGCATAAAAACAA